TATATATGTATATATTAATATATCAATATATATATGTATTTAATTATTCATCTATTTATTTATTTGCTGAATGTGCCGGTTATCAAGCACAGAGGATTTATAATGAAGAAGCCGACTTGCGTGAGCCAGTTTTATTTGCTACAAAATGATAACGGAAGGAAAACAATAAATTATATAAAAACGGCAAGTGTTGGGGTGACAGCTCACACTGCATAATTATTATCGTGAATTGAAAATGATAACATCACGTGGAGGTGAGAACAAGAAATCCCAAAATCCATTCTATTTCAAAGAACGAAAAGTAGGTAACAATGGCGTGAGTTGTGGAAGAGGGGGACTTGGCTAAACGACCTTTATAGTCACATTGGGGATTATCACCGTGAATTATCGACGAGATGGGATTGACCTGGAGATACCTTGGCATGGATTCGAACACACGCATTCATTTGACTTCCGGGAGGGGCGATTGGCTGAAGATACCTTGGCATGGATTCGAACACTGTCACTCTCTCTTGTTTTCGGGGATTGCCGAGGAGATATCTTGGCAATGAATTCGGACACACTCATTCACTTGTCTTCCGGGAGGGGCGATTGGCTGAAATACCTTGGCATGGATTCGAACATATTCTTTTTCAGAGGGAGGGATTGGCCGAGAGATACCTTGGCAATGGATTCGAACGCACTCATTCACTCGTTTTCAGGGAGTATCCTGAAGATACTTTGGAAAAATTCGATCACAGTCATTCCCTTATTTTCGTGGGGTGGGGTGAGGGGTCGCCACTTTGACATACGAGGGATTAAGAATGAGATTTTTCTCTTAAAGGATTGAACACCGGGAAAGCTCCATCGAAACTCTTATTCAAGTCTTGATCAACAAGCAAATGATAGTCTTCGTGAGCAGTGACGCTACAGGTAAGGTTACGCAGCATGGCTTATTGGCCGGGAACGGTCGACGAAAAGGGACGGGCTTAATCACCGAAAAGATACTAGGCTTCAAGGTCAAATGGGCGGGGCCAGTGGCTTCTTGCGTCATGGACAGAAGTCGGACAGTCGGCGACGCCCGAGAGGCACGAGAGAGCGCGCGGCGGCCGCTCGTGCTTGCAGGAAGGCGAGTCGCCGGTCCGAACAATGCAGAAGAAAGTCGCTTTCCTGCATGTTGACCGTGCATGCAAGGAAGCTAGGGTTCCTTCGGGCGGTCAGAGAAACGGTCACTTGACTCTCGCGTCATTAGATGAACTTGTATCAGAGAGGCAGTAAATGTCACCTTCTGAAGATATGGAATATTCATCACTACTTTGTTTGGAAAGCAAATTCGCTCGCAGGAGACATGACTTCATGTCCACGAATAGCTAATGAAAGATCAACATTAGCTTCTTAAATATCAACAAACACAATCAATTTGATAAATTCTCTGCATGGTCCATAACAACTTAGATCATATAAACCTTATATATTACGTGCCCAAGACTCAGTTCCGTGAATCATAACAAAATCGACTTTCCTTCTAAGCTGTGTCTGGGTGGAATACATTCAGGGAGAAATTCAAAGAAGGAATATCAAACAGTAGTGAAGGGTAAGATATTCTAAATATGAGATGAATTATGGAAAAATCACAGGAAATAGCAATGTTGCGAGACTGTTTTAATAAATGTAACTTGTAAACGTTAGTGCACAATGCAATGATTAATTATCTGTAGCCTCTTCTTGAAAACGAACGTTACATATGCAGATCATATGGCAGTGTCCTTGTACTTGTTTTCTATGTTATTTTTAGTCGTAGAGTCTTTAAACTTTTCTCTAAATATAGGTCGCAAATCCCAGAAGTGTATCTTATAGTCAAGCTACATTCTTTCTTTCCTCCCTATACCAAAATAACCCATTGTGTCAACTACATGTTAACTGGACTGCGATGATTGTAGACATGGTGTTGAACTATGTGGTGTTGTACGTCGTGTTCACTGTGTTGTTCAATTTTCAGTGTAAGAGTGAAAAGGGGACAATCGGTGGAAGAGAATAATGATAAGGAGAGAGAACCCCCAACTACGGTGAGCGAGGTGCACTGGAGTCAAAGCACGGTGCACGGAGTGTGGTGAAGGCAAGTACTGTGGAGGAGACACGTGGAAGGATCAGCTCTGAAGAAAGGAGTCAGTGATGTCTCTCCTGTGAAAGAGAATTCTTGAAGCGTGTCTAAGCCTTCGGAAAGGTTTTTGCCCTTAAGCACTGTCAGCAGCTGATTGCGCCTTCGCATTCCGGCAATGATTGTTCGGTTTATCGTCAGCCGCCAATAATATGGTCTTCTTTACCAGATTAAGGGACAATGGAGAAAATGCTACGCATGATTTTTCCACCACATCGACATGGCATTTTCTAATGATATATGAAGGCTGGCCACTCCTCATTAAAGATAATTCCAAAACATAAACAAGAAAATGATCACAGTTTTACAACAAACTCAGTTCAGTATCAAAATTAGTCTCTCATTTTAGTCATATTCAACAAAATAACAATACTTATTCACATGATATTCTGCAGTTCCATTCTTGTTACAATCATGTCCTTAGCTATCATAATGCGCACGGAATTCCGGAAGCCAGAATGAGCAATCATTGCAACGCGCCTTTCCCTTCCCTTCGCACACCGCGCCGTCCTTCTCGGACCCTGCGCCGGGGGCTTGGGCGTGGGAAGAACCTGCGTCCGTCGCCCGCCTCCCGGACACGATACGTCTTCGCGTCGTCGACGTCGCCGGCGTGTTGTGTTGGCGCCCTCCGCCGGGTGGAGGTGCGTGTGGTATGCAAATCGTGAGAGTTCTTTCGAGAGCGCTTTTCACCAGAACACTACAGGCTTCCGTTTTCCTTTTTTATCTATTGTGGGCGGAGCGAAATTTCGGAAAGAGCATTTACTCGTTCTTCGCCAGGATCGAAGATCTCAGTCAGTCACAGGAAGTGTAAACCATCTAAACTTGGCAACGTAGTGTCTGGCCAAGCGCGGGCGACTAAATCTCCCTACAAAGGGCCAACGGATCTCTTTCCTTCTCAACACAACAGGCGGGCAGGAGGGAGCTTCCAGAAATAAACGTTAGACTGACTCGTGAGAATGGCAGACGAATTCTATGCGCGCAGTCTCAGCTACCTATCCGTGCCATGCATCAGCAAGGCAGTTGACATGCAACTCATCTTACTTATGTACATAACAAGAGCGTTGTGCGATGATTCTAAGGTCACTTCTTGCGAAAATTACTAAGAAGCTGTCTAGCGATCATTATTAGTGACCGTTGGCTTGGATGGAGGGGGGACAGCGCCCCCTCGCGACCTACTTAAACCGAAGCCGAAAAGTGTTCCTATACTTCCTTTGCGTAATCCCGTTTCAGTACTCGTAATACTAAGTGATGAAGATTTGTTTTAATTTTGCGAATGAAAGCTAGACAGCCATTGCATATCGACAGTTTAAGCTAGGAAAAACCTCGTGCCTCTGTATCATCTACGGATTCTAGCACTTGAAGCTAACAGGCAATTTATTAGATCATAAAACCCGCTATCTGTATTATAACCTAACCTAAAGTTTGGCCGAAAATGTTCGAGTGATATGGGCCATAAAGGCGACATTATAAAGCCTGGCCATGGAAAGCCCACCTTAAAAGACATTGCAAAATATAACCTCCACCTACACACAACCGACATGGTCCATGCCAACAGTATTGTCAACAGTATTTCATTCAAGGTTTAACAACAGTATCCACAAACACCATAGAATAAGCACCTCTGATACCCGCATGAAGGTCGTAACACTCAGTGGAAAAATATCGTCTTCACAAGAAACACCAAAGACACGGACGTTGTTGGTCACAACACTCGAAAATAACAACACTGCGCCGACGTCGCTGCACCGCCCCGACGTCGGCGCGCGCCTAGACGTCGGGATGCTGGCGCGACGCCGATGCCACAGTACAATAAAGGGTCGAACACGTGTCGCATCCGGTGCATGCGACACGTGGTTGTCAGCTATTCTGTGTACACTACACATTCATGTCTTTTAACCGCTGTCAAAGACGGGGCTCACCTTTGTCCGGGGCAACACAGGATGGCTTCGTTCAGCCATTCCTTCATTGCAGGGGCTAAATGACGTCATAGAAATGCTCCATCACAAGATAAGCGTGGCGTTTCATTGAAATGACATCAGAAAACAGCGTAAATGAAAGAGGAGGCCAGACAATAACACCTTAGTATTGTTTCCCAAAACTCGGCGAGTCCCAAAATGTCAAGAGCATGTTTATGCATTTCGTTCTCTCAGTGTCTGTGGCACACGTCACTCGGCCCAAATTTGTTCTGCATCTCCTCCATGATCTTATCGTAGATGCGGGAATTCTTCGCCACGAAAGGGTCTCTCCAGGCGCTGTCCTTCGCCTTGGTCTTGCTCCTTCGCTTGATTCCCGGGGCGTGCACGAGGAAGGCCCGGTCAAGGATCACCAGGTTGTAGCCACGGAGACAGAGCTCGTGCATCTGGCAACGGGTAAATCAAGAAGTCAAGTCAAGTCGATCGGAATCGCGTGCAATTTCTTTTCATATTTCATAACGGTGCAATATGGTTAAGAAAAAAAGGAACAGCCAGCATTTATTCATACTGCTCTCCAGCAAAGTCAGATTTACATAATACAATACCTACGGATAATCAATGGAAGCCTACGTACCTGCGTCATCTTGTCCTGCAGACCCTCCCAGGACAGCCGCTCGTCGTACAAGGGCTCGTCTTTGGTGCAGATGTAAATGGGCTCCCAGCGGTGGTAAGGGTACTGGCGCTTCACGACCGAGAACGCCTGCAAGGGATCGCGGGTGTTATCTTCTCTCAAGTCTGTCTCTCTCTCTCTCTTTCTGTCTGTCTGGCTCTCTCTCTCTCTTTCTGTCTGTCTGGCTCTCTCTCTCTCTCATCTCTCTCTCTCTTTCTGTCTGGGTCTGTCTGGCTCTCTCTCTCTCTTTCTGTCTGTCTGCTCTCTCTCTCTTTCTGTC